GTAAAATAAAAAGTAGTTCACAAAATTAAACAAAAATATTATAAATACAGAGGAAATGCTCAAAAGTTTGATCTTTGATTATTATCCGTGTTTGCATCTCTCCTAATTTATGTTATTTATTTAATTTATGAGTGTTTGAGTGAAAAAAAAATTACTTTTGCTTCATTCTATAAAACTACTGGTGCCATTTCTTTCTTACATTTTCTATTTGACAGAAAAGAAATGTATATACACAATAAAGTTTTAAAGTTTTAAAACCAAACTTATTTCCATTGCATTTTTTGATGTAATGTCAATGAAGAAGTGCTCATTTACAGCTAATTTTACAAAATAATGTGTCATGTTTTCAGAATTATTTATATTAATTTTTAGACACAATATCAAATGTTTTAACTTCAGAAGAGTTAAGAAGTATTTTTGTGGAATAACTCTGATTTGACAGAATTCTGATCATTTTGATTCAATCAAATGTAACATTTGGTATTAGGTTTAATTTTTAAAACAAAATAAATGCTCTAAATGACAAAATTTTACTCCTGAAAACACCAGTTTCCGAAAATATTTGCCTAATTTATAATAAGAATTGTTTAGCACTAAATCAGCATATCTTAAACTAAAATCATGACATTGAAAATTCACATTTGCCATAAATCACATTTTTCATTCATTCATTTTCTTGTCGGCTTAGTCTCCTTATTAATCCGGGGTCACCACAGCGGAATGAATCGGCAACTTATCCAGCACATGCAACCCATCTCTGGGAAACATCCATACACACTCATACACTACGGACAATTTAGCTTACCCAATTCACCTGTACCGCATGTCTTTGGACTGTGGGGGAAACCGGAGCACCCAGAGGAAAGCAGGGAGAACATGCAAACTCCACACAGAAATGCCAATTGACCCAGCCGAGGCTTGAACCAGCAAACTTATTGCTGTGAGGCGACACCACTGTGCCACTGCATCGCCAAATCATAAAATATATGAAATATAAATTACATCAAGTTGTATTGTACTATGTAAGTACATTATTCTCAAGTATCCCAAGGTTATATGAATAACAAATAGATTCAGATTTTTCAGCATTTTAGATCTAAAATGTGTTGTGTGCTAAACTGAACTAATGGAAAGACGGATAGACAGACAGACAGACAGACAGACAGACAGACAGACTACCTGACAAAAGTTTTGTCGCCTATCCAAGTTTTCGGAAGAACAAACAATAACTTGAGTTCTAGTTGATCCTTTGGCATCAGAAGTGGTTTATATGAAAGGCAAAGGCCTCTAGATTACACTTATTTTACCAAAATAACATTGTATAAATGTCTTGATTTTTAATTATTTAATTAGGACAGGAAGAACGGACTTTGCTTAGACAAAAGTCTTGTCACTTAACAGAAATACTCTACAGTATAGAATATAAAGTCATGGTGTAGTGGAAAAAGAATGAATATTGTGTTTGATTCCCATGAGCTCGGAGGACTGCATCCATAGATCTCTGCAATGACTCAAACAACTTATCAATAAAGTCATCTGGAATGGCAAAGATAGCATTCTTGCAAGACTTCCAGAGTTCATCAAGGCTTTTTGGATTAATCTTCAATTTCTCCTTCTGCATCTTACCCCAGATATGCTCAATAATGTTCTTGTCTGGTGACTGGGCTGGCCAATCCTAAAGCACCTTGACCTTCTTTGATTTTAGAAAGTTTGATGTGGAAGATGAAGTATGAGAAGAAGAGCTATCCGGCCCTCACCTGTAGTTTGTAATGAAATGGGCAGCACAAATGTCTTGATACCTCAGGCTGTTGATGTTGGCATCCACACTGCAGAACTTTTCGCACACCCCATACTGGATGTAACCCAAACCATGATTTTTCCTTCACCAAATGTGACTGGGAAACCTTGGGTCCATGTGGGTTCTAATAGGTCTTTTGCAATATTTGTGAAGGTTGAAATTGGCCGGTATAAGTTTCTGACGGTATGGTAACCTTGAATAAAAATATCACAGTTTCACGATATTGTGATTTCTGCTCTAAAATATATTCTTCTTAAACGTCTGGGTAAAAGAACAAAAACTTTTTTTCCCTTTTGAAGACAGTATATTTTATTCAAAACATTTTTGAACAGTAAACATGTCAGGCTGAATGAATTATTGACTACTTCATTTGTTTCAAAAACACAGATTTTTTTACAATTTAAAATGGCATCTTTTCTGCTGGAGATACTGTTGATTTAAAAACAACAAAAAATAATAATGTAAATAAAAAATCATACACATACCTTAGGAATGGTATTGCAGAAAATGTTAACGTTTTAAAACATTGACTTTTCCAAACCGCGGTATACCTTGAAGACGGTTGTCGTCCCATGCCTAAATTAAATGCAGTTCAACAGATGATTCATCAGAAAATCTACCTTCTGCCACTTTTCCAAATGATCAACTAGAAGTCAAGTTATTATTTGTTGCTCTTACAACTGGGATCGAGACTTTTGTCAGGTAAGTTGGAACGAACGGACGGACGGACAGACAGACAGACTGCTAAAATAGAAAGAGAGTTATTGCTACAACTAAAACTTAAGAACCGTGTCATTCTCAGATTCAATGTTATCTTTGTTCTCACAGAACATTAAATGTGTGTGGGAAGCCTGTAAAAATGCATGAAACATCAGAACTGTATTAATAATTCATACACCACATGGTGTCCGCAGCTGTGCCATTCTCATAATCTGTCATAAATAGTGAAACGTTTGCTTTAACTATTCATTCAGTCATAAAATGTCATGCAAAATTAACACTCTAGGTAACCGATACATCATGTTAACATTACACATAACAGGTTAACATTAAAAACACAGCTGGTTCAAAAGCAAAAGTCAAAAACACCTTGAACTAATTAACAAAATGTGAGGGTTTGGTTAAAAAAAGGACAAAAACAGAAAAAAAGACAAACGTTAATTTCATTTTCTATTAAGTTTCCATCAGAAACAGATGAAATGTTCGTTATGAATACAAAATTGTTATGTCTTTACCTTTATTGGTGCTTAAAATTCAGTCTCCATTTTGTCATTTAGCCTAATAGATTTTAGCATAACACTTCCTTCATTTACTTCGAAGAAGTGTTGGAAGAAACTAAAGTGACTTGCTGCCATCTAGTGGACGCTTTGCGAACTACGATATTTCTGCACAAGAGACTAGTGTTTTATGAAAACTTACACAAATTATAAACATATTTATTTTCTCCCTCATTTTCTTTCGTCTTATTTCATTATTAATCAGGTTAATCAGCTCACTATTCCGTTTCTTATCTTTAATTTATTCTGTAGTAAAACCATAGCCAATGTAGGCTAAATTAAATAGGTTATACTATTAATGCTTGAACTATTTTTACAGAAAACTAGAAACTACCTTTATAGCTAGATAGTATGCTGTAAACTTACAGTACTGTTTTGTAGCTGAAGAAGCTGAAAACTGTACAAACACTGTTTTCAGTCCACACCAAATATGTTCCACTTAGAGGAGTGTTCTTCAACATTTCCATGGAGTTTGCATAAGTTTACTATTATATCTGCATAAGCCTTCATAACCACTAGAGGGACTTGTGTTATACTGCAGCCTGTTTTACTGTTACACTGTAGCAGTATTTGTAGCTCACACACATGAACTCACTGTATAAGCACCTAGTTCTACTACACTATGACACAATACTAGTCTTTTTTTCCCCCAATTTCATAAAGAATAGTTTGATTGATACTCAAAATATATCAATAAATCAGACAAAAAATCTAGGTAGAACAATTTTTCAATAAACCCATATACAATTAGACGTGATGATATTTGAATTTTAGATGGTTAAATTTTGTTTAGTAAGTCCTGAGCTTTTAAGTTGTTTTTGCTTTTGCCTACAGGGAATTCTGGAATGTTAATTTTTTGATACTTTTACCTTTCTGAACTCATAAATCTGCAAAAGTGGGCATTTTATAAATATTAAATAAATAAATACATAAAATGTTATTGATAAAGCAATTTCCACAAGCAACAATGCCAAGATCACCCAGCAAAAATGCAGCATCAGTCAACAACATTCCATTTTAAACAAGAACTCTTGCAAGAACCTTGCGGTCAATAACAATATTGCAAAAATTACAAGACAGTGGCAGTCTGACATGCATTATCCATATCAATATTCTGAAGGTTTTTAGAGGGACATGTTATACATAATTTACATAGATCATAAATTATAGACTTTCAATTTTTATTTTATAGCTCAGTAAAAAAGCTAACATTTTAACCTGTCTTTTCTGTTTTAGAACTACAAGCAAAATAGCACATATTAAATTAAATAATGCCTTATTTGCATATCTAATTAAAAATAACATAAAAAATTGCAATACTAAAAGATGGGAAAGTATTGTAATATGATCACTTTCTTTTCTCTGCAGGGTCTTTAGACAAAATTGCGGTATTGGTTAAAAAAGCACATGAACAAAATATAACATAATTATCCTGCAATGATCAAGGAATTATTAGAGAAAATATAACATAAAAATAACTATTATGTTAGCTAAAAAAAGAAAGAAAGAAAAGTTGCGAATGGCTCAACGTCAACAAAAGGCTGATGGTATTATAAGCTCAGTGTCATTATTGCAGAAGGTCTCTGTTCCTTCCACCATGACACGCTTTGCGAAAATCTCGATTATGTGAAATGGCGGCAAGAGGAGGCGAGGAAGGAAACATGATACAGTACAGCCAGCGCCACACAGAGTGACGCCGAAAACCCGGAGCGGATTTCCTTTATTAACCGGAATGATTCACACTACTGGTCTAGAACACTCCATTACAGGCATCGAGCAGTCCGCACTTCAAGTCAAACATACTCGTGAAAGCATCCAGTAAGCCAGTCTTCACATCAAGTTGATATTTATGACAACATTTGCATAGCAGTTGTACAACTGCTCAATTTAATGCATGGTAAATAACGTCAATGCCTAGATTTTGGAAGACCTGTTTAAATCAGAGAAGCTCCAGGAATGTGTCACTGTTTAACCAGTCCTTACAAGTATTTTGAGAAGAAAAATGTTTCCTCGTTGACTTAGAAGGTAAGTTACTGTACCCAAATTCACATACTTCCAGAACACGCTAAAGACCTATGAATTTTGGGTAGGCTACATATTAAACTTTGGAGGAATCCTTTTTGCAGATGGACAGTAGTCATAAACACATCCTTAATAAAATAAATCATGAATTTACTACAAAAACAAGAAGAAGAACAGTTTTTAAATCATGGTGATCATAATTTACTACCACAGTTTTACCACAAGTAGCAATGCTAGTCACCTATGCATGTTAAAAGTAAATGTTCTTCATCAGCATCAATGGTTTTATTTAGTATTTAATATTCATGGAAACTTTTAATTCAACAAAATTATTAAAAAGTTCTTCACACTATGAAAGAAAATGATTCTTTGAACAACCATTAAGGTTCTTTGCTTAAAAAAGATCTTCTGTAACAAAACTGTGAAAAAACATTTAAGTTTTCGAGGCACGTTTATTTTTAAGAGTGTAAAAATACATAGGCCTACTTCAATCATGTGAAAGGAAGTTGCTATTTTCCTTTAACTCGTGCACACAATTTAACCATCTCTCATAATGACTTTTGAGCAAGCAATCACATTTACTTTTTAATATAGCTTAAAGTTCTGTGCTTTTAGAATCTACATCATTGAATATTGCTTTTTTAGACGTCCTCATAAAGTTTTAGTCTGGATGACCCATTTATTCATAAAGGTGGAAGCCTATGAATCTTAAATATTACTCAGTCCTCACTGTTTCTCCTTCTTTTCCAGCTTTGATTATGCTGGTCCTCAAAATAAATACTTGTTCTCAAGTTAATTTTACCACTGGGGCCTCGACTGTTCCCAGTTGTCCCTCCTCCCATCCACTCGAATAGGTCCCTGACCATACATGGTGTTAGTTGAAGAAAGCAGCAGCTCAGAGAGCTGGAGGAAGAAGTGATCTGCCATTTAAACAAGCCTGCGTGTGAAAGGGAGGACCCTGTAACATGGACTCGGTAGCACTGACTGGCCAAGTAACTCCTCCACCGCAAACATTTACACTGTAATAGGCTAGTGTGGAGCTAAAAATGGCCTCTGGAACTATAACTGCTGAGAAACAGAAACTTCAGCTGCACTGTATGTTTCGCTCAGCTTGTGAAGACTTGAATCGACTTTTACTGCAAATAGGAGTTTTTGGGTGTGTATGTTGAAAGACGACATTTGTTACAAGGTGCCAGTGAGTCATGTAGTGATACAAGCATCAATGAATTGAGGATACAACGTTCTTTAAGTTACACATCAAACAGTTTCTTTAACAGCTTCGGTTAACATTTCAACTTGTTCTTTAAATACACACTGATTTCAAGGAATTTTAAATAGCGTAAATCTGGGTATAAATACCCAAAGGACTGTGTCTGATTCATGAAGTAGGTGTTTTCGATGACATTTGAGTTTGTAGAGGGGGATATGATGACACAATTCATGCGATGTTATTCTAATGAAGTGAGAGACAGCCTTCCTTCCTACATTTTCAACACAAACTGACAGTGCATGAAATATATCACTCCAAACAGTCCTCACTGAAAAAAGGACATTCATGAAGGTTTTTTAATAGCCTTTATGTGCATATGAGACAGCCATGAACCATAATTCTCATCATAATGTGTTTTATGGTCCCTATCTGGCTTTATCTGTCTCTATTTCTTTTTATCTCTCACTATCAAAGATGTGTGACGATTTATGAGCTTACATATTGTGCATCACAAAAGCGGAATTCATTTCTGCTTTCACATTCACATAGCCCACTGCGTATTGTAATTTACAGTTTTGAAAGTTTCGGTTTTGCACTTTGACATAGGGAAATTAAATCTGACTAATCAAACAAAGGATTATTTATACACTATATCTTTAAGTACTATGCAGAATTCAGTTTATGGCTAGTTAAATTAAATAGTAGTCAAAATATGGGTTATATACTTAAGTAAAAACAAAACATACTCATTCTTTATAGCAAATATAATTATATAAAATATAGATTTAAAATTACTAAGATTTTGTATTTTGGGGGTTTTAATATTTCATTAAACAATCCTAATTTTTAATATTTAGGACTTTTCTGTTTATAAAGCAATCTTAAGCCTCATTTTTCTTCCGTTTTCATGCTTTAAAATCACTGAATTAAAATGTAATAAAAATATATATTTTAAAATCTATTTTTATTATTTTAAAAATTTTATGAATAATAAAATATGGTAAAACTTACCATCAAACAAAAATGTACAAAATATACACAAATTAAATTCATGCCCTGTCTGTGAAAAGTCTGCGCTACAGTATGTCTTATTGCCTTATGAATAATGTAAACTGGATAAATGAATGATAAACTGATGTAAAACCGCAAATATGATGGAAAGTAACCCCAATACTGTTCAAATGCTTATTATCAACCCGCTTCCTGCACTTTCTGACTCTTTTTAATCTCTCTAGCTATTCCTTGTGGATTTATACTCCCATATAAATCTTACCATAGATCTTCATCATCCTGGCAAAGTGAGCACACCCTTCTGTCTTTTTGAGTAATATTAAAGGCACAGTTCACCCAAAATGTGAATTCTGTAATTATTTGCAAAAGCAGAAATTTTGCAGAATGTTGATGCTGTTCTTTTTCATAAAATGAGTGAATGGTGATCAAATAGTAAATAGCAAAATAAAATATGTATTTGTAAATGTTATAGCTTGTATTCACTTTCACAAAATAAAACAACCAAAACAAATGATTTTTTTGATGAACTGTTTCTTTATTGATGATAAAAGTCTGACAGTAAACTGACAGTATTTCACGATACAGTAGCATCCAGAAAGTAAAACACCCCTAAGTCAGAGAGCCGACACATTCTTGACATTATTCATGCTCTGAAAAACATTCACTGAGTAAAAGATGGGACCAGTTCAACAAGAGGAACTGGATAATATAGGAGACAAAAACACTGTCACAGTAACACTTTAATAATGGATCACAATAGACCTGACTAAATATTTTTCCTGATGCCATCAATAAAAACATTCTCATGCAGTCTCTTTTTTTCTTTGACATAACATGACAAACCTCATCATTATCTTTGATGTTGTCCTCTTACTTTAGAGAGAGAAAAAAAATAATTTAGTATGTTTCAAATAACTTTTAAAGACTGATTACCTGTCACTATGAGTCCAATTATGTGCTTTTGTTGGTTAGTTAATAGCTAAAGAAAAGAATGCAAGGAGGTGTTTATGGGCTGGCACACATTGCATTTCTAAATATACTGGGTGCATTCCTGAAGGAGCTAATAATTCAACAGAACAGCTTATGTCATCTTTTTTTTTTTTTTTTTTAAGTTGAAACCACCTTAATTTGCAGTCTGACCAGTCTAATGGGTTCATATTCCTATATTTCCTTTGCTAGAAAGAATACAGTACATGACAGAAGAGTTTGACCATAATTCTGAGCCAGTTAAATTTCAAATGACAAATACATATAGATCATATCTAGATCACAGCTATAGATACAGATGATTTTTTTTAAGCCAAAGCTGTTGACCTTGTGGCCCGTACAGTACATCAACAGAATTTTTAGTCAGATATTTGGATGTAAACATACAAACATTTTTTCAAAATTGGGACAAATCAATAAAAATGCACTCAAAGGAGGAACAATGAGGAATGAACACCCATAATCTAGTCAAGAGATCGTTCAAAACCTGAATGATTAGGGGCCCATGAATGCAACCAGATGACGCTACATCAAGCAGGAAGCTACATAAAGCAGGAAGAGATAATGCTGCAGGGCAGACAAAGAGCTACTCATCATGACTTTAAAGATGCATTTTAGTGCAGAAATATGATTAACATTCATTTACAACCTAAAATCTAATTTCCAGCATAATAAAAGGATAAGTGGATCTATAGGAACTGAATTTTCCAAGCAACATTTACCATCATGAAGGACACCGAAGCAAATGTGGACTGGTCGGGAAAACTCACAGAAAGAGCTTCCTTTTTCTTTTTCAGTCAACAGTGAACAGAGAACATTACTACGGTGTCTGAGAGAGCACAAATGTGCTACAAGTTAATAAAACATTAAACCATAGACTGTAAAATATATGGACGTAGTATCCGTGACATCACCTATAGGTTTCTGAAGAACACAAAAGAAGCCACAGTACAAGTAGGCGTGGCCGACCGTCGCCATTTTGTTCACGCATTATCGCATCAACCGGGGGATACCAAACAAGGGAAAAATAGGCAGAGTGTGAGTGAAGCTAGAGACACCTGCTAGCATTTTGCTTTGACAGACTTCTCTTTGGGAGAAACTCTTAATATTTCATTACCTGCTACTCGTTTGTGTTCTGACCACGTGTTTTTGGTTGTATGCTATAGCTATAAAGTGTTTAGTCCTTTAAAAACACGGTTGTAATAAATTGATCCACTAAATATTGTTCTTATGATGCTTTTCTACCAGAGGAAAACGCGGATCCCTTCCAAGTACTTCAAATATCTGTATTAGTAAACACAAGGCTACTTATGCCTTATGTATAACAACGTTTCTGATGACTGTTCTAGAGCCTACAGCTAATCAATCTGTCAGATTCTGGCATGTATTCAAGTTCTAAAGAAAAATATAAATGATAAATAAATAAAACAATAATGCAATAAAACAAATACATTCATAGAGATGGCGTAAGTAAATGATTTCACTCACCTGGAAAACGGAGGCCACGTGAATGGTTTGTGAGCACAATTAAGTGCACACAGCAGGCCATATCATCTGATAATTGTAGGAAATAATTACAAAAGGCAACTGACTGTAAAGCCACATAAAATAAAACAATATATATGCTGAGTTCTGCGGCTAATCAGCCGGAATGAGCTGAGGTGAAGTGACAGCGACCAGCGAGACCCAGCTGTCACTCAAGTGGCCTCTCCCTTAATTATGCAGACTTAATATAACTTAATATAAACAAAATGGATGAGTTATAAAAAAAATTCACCCCCCTAACAATTGTCATAAAGGGTAATATTAGCTAGATGGACCAAAATCATTTTTTGTACCTGGCTGTAAACACCTTTTTTTCTGCTGTAAAGTTGGCCATTTTAACAGTGGGCTCAATAGAAATTTGCTCTATAATGAGCCAGGACTAGCGGAATTTCGATGAATTGCAGTTTCAGTTACTTCCGTATTTGCTTAACGAGGGAAATCGGGAGGTTGCTGCTTACATTAAACAATTAAAACATCACTGACTGATTATGGAAGTAAGTGGTTTTAAGTGTGATAAATATGTATAAACTGAGCCAAAATATGTTTTCTGTACAAATGTTGTATATATGTTACAAAAGCTTTTAAGGCACACGAAACGGCGTTGAAATCCACACAGCTTATATATTAGAAAAGCAATTAATCAGAAGTCACATTAGTTGGAAAAGTGCTATTTTAGGCATATGGTTTGCCTAGAGGCACCAGTTCTGTTCAGAGACAGTGAAGAGTGCATGTGCCAAAAAACGATCAGCTTTCCCTTTCACACAGTGGCTACTGATAGGGCTCTTATAAATATAGGGCTTGTAATGCACCTTTCCCTTACTAAAGAATTTATCCCAATTTAAAACACAGGCCCATGTGACCTCAGATTACCCCATTAAAATTCTTTTGTTCTGACTAAGACTTTGTTATGGCTACACATGTCTGTCTGCACTGCCACGCTTGAAGAGGTAAAGCGTGTGGAAATTCCCCTGCAGAAATCACTGACAGGTATCTGAAAGTGTGAATACGCCCCCCTTTAAAGACTAAAGAGTGCAAATGTTCAGCTTAACATGGACTTTAGTACTTGCATAATGATGAACAAGCCTCAACTTTGGCCAAACATTCCTCTATTTAGACCGAGACCCTGAATGTTGGCTGCTCTGTACAGTTTGTGTTGTTAGGTACAGATATAAAGCCTGACAAATGAGAAGGCGAGATAACAATGGAGAGGAAGATGAAAGAGAAATGGCAGCAATTGGGAAGTTTGACAGACAGAGGGGGGTGAGAGAGAGAGAGAGAGAGAGGGAGGTGGAGGAAGAGGCAGTGAGGGCAAATGCAAACAATGAATAAATATTCATGTTCACCGACAGAAAGGTTGCAGTGTGCAAAATTTCCAGCCTTTTGCAATGCGAGTGGGAGATACCAATGCTGAAGCGAGAGGGGGAGGGATGAGAATATTTACAAGCCTGAAGAAGAATGATTCCACTTATCAGGAGAATGTACTGGCAAAAACGAAACAACCCATTATTGTTTGTTCAAATGTGTCACAAATGAGCAACTCTTAAATAACGAGTGTCTTTCCAGTTTGTTAGATACAAAGAGCGTTTGGTGCGCTGACATATTTCAGTGAGCCTGCAGATTGTAGGGTACAAAGTCAGTAGAAGCAGAGGGTGAAAATCTGAACCACATCTGCTGCTGTTGTGCATGAGTTGCTTGGCAGAAGTACTTGAGTTTTTTTTTTTTTGTCCTCAGTAAATGAGAGATATTAGAACATTAAAACCATGCCTGAAGTTGAAATTACCTAATGTCCTTGCGGCGTTTTCTGCACGGACATTGTTTTGTGTTGAATAGTTTTGTAACAGTGTGAGATGGTCCTGTTTTGTAGCAGACTGAGATCTTGCCGGAGTCTAAGATTTACAAACATGCACAAAACGTTTCTGCTAATATCGTCCAAATTTTTTTTACACTGATTGTGAAGGCTCGAAAACAACAAAAATATTCTAACAATGGAATTTGCATGTGCTGTTACCATCAGCTAATCTCACATTCTGTGATTTAATTAAATTTAATTCGTGTTTATTTATATAGCGCTTTTACAATGTAGAAGTTCTAATGAATTGAAATCGTGTCAGTCCAGTTTTCCAAGTTTAAGTTCAGTTTAGTTCAGTTCAGTGTGGTTTAAATTTCACTACTGAAAACCCAAACACTGAAGAGCAAATCCATCGATGAGCAGCTCTGCAAGTCACAAACCAAGCAAGCCAGTGGTGACAGTATAGCAAGGAACAAAGCTTCACCAATGCATGAAAGGAAAAACCTTGAGAGAAACCAGGCTCAGTTGTGCATGACCATTTTTCCTCAGGCCAAACTACTTGTGCAGAGCTGCAGTCTGGGCACCGGAGGCTGGAGAATGCTGGATTTCTATCGTGGACAAGCTGCAGGTGTGAGTAGGTCACCGGTGGGTGTTCTGGCTGGCCCATGGGATCAATGCGAAGATTAAACTGCAAAGGGGACAACCTTGTTTCTTTTTACTTCAAACCAAAAATATAATAATTCATGCATAAAAAAATCAAATAAAACAAATAAATAATAATTTCTTTTGCAAAATTATGTTTTCAAAGAATTACATAAATGTCCACTGCAATAGAAGACAGCAGTAAATAACCCAAAACTGTGCGGTGCATCACCACTTTTTCAGGCAGTTTCTTAAACACAAGTCTTGAAACTCTGGACTAGCTCTATACCCTTTCTAGTGTGCGAGAGATTGAATAAACCGCATGTGCTTCAAGGACTTGGAAAAGGCGTTCAACTGTGTCTTTTCTGGCATTCTGTGGAGCTTGGTTTTCATTGCCGGTAATTGGTCAGACTTGTTTCTGGTGTGTGTTGAATTCCAGCAGGGATGGACTTTGTCACTAATTCTGTTCCTATAATTTTTATGGACAGAATTTCTGGGGCCGGAGGGGGTCTGGTCAGTGTGCGAATTATACATTGCTGATCAGGGGG